TAATATGTACTACTTTTATAATAAGGAAGAAAATAGAAATTTGTTCTTTTTTGTGATGAGCCATGAGCTTAGATCTTTCCCTGCCTTCCCTGTTCTCATGGCTGTGCCTTCTGGGCAGTGTGTGTGTTGAAAAATATGTTGACTCAGCTCTGCTTTTTCCACTGACCTGCTACCCTGGGTCCAGTCACTTACTTCCTGCTTGGGTCTTCCTGCCAAATTACTTCTCAAAATTTTGCAGACCTCCTGCTTGTGTCTTCCTCCAAGCACCCTCCCTTGGAGTCCTTACCCTTCACTTTCATATTGAGAGTCCATCTCTTGAGCAACTAGCTCCTGTTCCCATTTTTCCCTTCATACATAATTGGCATTTATTGGCAGGTTGAGTTCTTAAGTTTACTTTCATTTTTATCAATAAGGAAATTCAGAGAGAGTAAGAGACTTGCCCACAGTGCAGCACAAACCTAGAGCAGAACCACGTCTCTTGCTTTTCCTTCTCTCAGCCCAGGCTGCCTACTCCCCATGTCTCACTTTATAGAAGTTCTGCATGTTCTATTCTCCTACCAGGCATTTGAGGAAGATCTGGAATGTTACCTATGTCCTCTGCTATACTCAAACATCTGTGATGTGGTGACCGCTCATCCACTTATTACTCCCACTTAAAGAAGTTAATACCCTTTTATATGTCACTTTACTTACATACATACATACAAATTAATTCTGATAAATACAACTGTTTTATCCTAACAAACCTTTAAATTAGTTCTTATCCTCTGTTTATAGGTGAAGAACTGAATCTTAGAACTGTTAGGTAACTTAAGTTTTGTGTTACTTATTTACTTCTCAGAATTTTGCAGACCTTAGCTTAAGTCCCCAAAATGTACAGCATCACGATAAAAAAAAAAAATTAAATCTTCCCCAGATCCGGAGTATCCTCTCATTTCTACAAGCACAGCTCCTCCTATAAACACACAAACACACACACACACACACACACACACACACACACATACGCACGCACGCACATTTAGAGTCTGGAATCGGTTCTAAAATATCAGAGTCAGATGAGGAACTGTTGGAAAACTGTACCATTTTCTTCTATCCAGAATTATCTACTGCTTTTCCCATGCAATGGAATATATTGGGGTCACAGGCTTATAATTCTAACACAAAGATAGAATAACTCTTTTTTTTATTTGTTTTTGTAGTTATAGATGGACAGAATACCTTTATTTTATTTATTTTTATGCAGTACTAAGGATTAAACCCAGTACCTCACACATCCTAGGGAAGCGCTCTGGTACAGCCCCAGCCCCCAAGATAGAACAATTCTTGTAAAACATTCCTTAGGAGGATTAAATCATTTCTAAAATGCAGTTTATTAATAATTTCTGCTTCATTGATCTGTCACTTTGAATAATAGAGAATAGGAGTGTGAGTCTTTAAGCATTTCTGGTATGAACTTCCCCAGAAGATGGCTTATGCTTTTGTATCCAGAGAATACATTTCCCATGATTCATACAAAATTTAAGAAGTTTTTGTTTATTAGATAACAATAAGTCATGATGCTGACATGGGACTTGATTGAGGTTTTGGATCTTGAACACTTCTAGCAGTTTCCTAAGTTTACTACCGTCTTCTCTTTGTTGTTCTTTCCCATGCCTCACCTTAATACTTGGCCTTGAATGTAAGAAAAAGGACAATTCATAATACAAGGACTTCAGGGCTAGCTGTTGATGCAGTTGGGCAGCCACCAGGCTCCATGACTGATAGGCTGTCAGCATCCTACAGCCTTTTTTTTTTTTTGCCCCCATGCTGACAGGCTCTCCCACCTGGAGAGGGTGGGGATAGCTCCGACACAGTTTGGCCAGATCGCCTCACACCCAATCAGGCAGGTGCCCAATCACGTGCGAGAATGGCTTCCCTCATTAAAGTACCTGACTTTTTCCAACTGATCTTCTACTCTCCCCACCTCTCCAATGAATCCAAGGCACAGACGTGGCAGGGGATATGAACTAAGTCTTAATAAGACCTTCCCTGCATTCAGTCACCGTGTAAGGGCTGCAAGAGCAGTGAGTGCAGACTGCTCCAGGAGGTTCCTAATGTGGCAGGAAGTTTAGAGGAGATGGTGTTTGACCAACACAGAAAGATATGATGGTGCTCTCTCTGTTTTATAGACGAGGAGATAGCGTGAGGTTTAAGGAACTGCACCAGGATCACAGCCCATCACCAGGGAGGCTAGAATTCAAACTCTGAAAGAATTCCTGCCCAAGGTTTGCATCAAGTAATTTTGGCCTTTACCTTTTTATCCATGACCTCACAGGATTTCAAATACTTGAATGCCAAGTGAAGGAAGCAAATTTCATTTTTTAAAATGACAAATTTTTTGCAGAAAAATAAGATACAGACTAGTGTTCAGAATAATGAAGAGTTAGAGTTTTTTAGGAAAACCATCTTCTTTTACCTGTAAGTAACAATAACCATTTTTATTTTTATTTCTACCTTAAAAATTCAAATGTACACATTCATAAAATTACCACTGAAATAATGATATAGAATATTTCCCAACATTTAAAAAAATTCATTGTGCCCCTTCATAGTAAATATGTTTCTCTCACCCTAGACCCTGGCAACAATGGATCTGTCCCTATGGTTTTGTCTCCTGCAGAATTTCCTTTTTTTTTTTTTCCTTTTCAGTACTGGAAATTGAATATGCTCGGCAATAATTCTGCTACAGAGCTACACCCCCACTGGCTTTGAGACACGGTCTTGCTAAATTGCTGATATAGTGTTACACTGTATAGTTGAATAGACCCCCAGTGTTTTATTCCCCCTGCTTTTGAGAAGTTTTCTTTCCTCTCCATCATTGTTGTTGTTGTTGTTAGAGTTGTAGATGGACAGCATGCCTTTATTTTTGTGCAGTGCTGAGGATCGAACTCAGTGCCTCACACATGCTAGGCAAGCGCTTTGCCACTAAGCTACAACCCTATCCCCTTTTTTTCCCTTCTTTTCTTCAGTGTAAATCAGGTATAAATGAGAAATGTGCAGCATATTGTCATGTAATTCAAAGACATTTATATTCCATGTGCTCCAAAGATGATAAATTAGCTTCACATAAATAAAAATAACAATCTCTTTTTTTGTTTCAGTGTGTTAATTATACCAAAACAACTTATCTTGCCAAGACTCTAGAATCTGTTCTTTCATTTGGTCTATGTAGTTGAAGACATGTCTGGGCTCCTTATGACCACCTTAAATTATGATCCCCTTAAAATATGATTCCTGCCTTTTAATGAATATCAGTTTATTTATCGCTTAGCTCATTTTCCAACATCCTAGAAGACTACAAATTGATTAAAATGTTATATATACATGCTTGAACTTTAAATCACTTATTTTTTCAAACACACTTTAATTTTGGTTAAACTGGGCAAGAGTTAGAATTTGTGACTTGAGGCTCCTTGTAACAGAGGCATGAGCTCTTAATTCCCTTCTTCCTGTGGGATTCTGTGATTCCTTTCTTTTTGTTTTTTTAAGTTAATGCTCAACCTTTAGTCACTTAAAGGTAAGTAGAGTGTTGTTGATGGATCAGGGCTAAAGGAATTATTTTGGAAAGAACCTTAATGTATATACATTGCTCTACATTAAATTACCAGGTATGACAAATCTGGTGGCTTCTTGTTTATTTGTTTGTTTTTGGCTTCTAATGTCTTTTTATTTGTTAGCGAACAGACATCAACAGTAATTCATCTGCAGGCCTAAGTCAACTGTTTTGAGATTTGACCATAGAATAATTAAGAATAGGAACATGTTACATATACATCATTGACAGTCAGTAAATGATTTTTTAAGTTACCTTATGTGAGACTGAATTGATTATAAACTGTTTCTAAATGCAAATTTTTAAAAAATAGGTTGAAAACTATGCCCCCCAAAAGGAAACAAATACACAAAGTTTTGTATTCAAATGTTTATGGTAACCTTATTTTTCATAGCTGACAACTGGAAACAACCAGAAGCCTATTAACTGGTAGACGGATCAACAAAATGTGGTACAGCCACATAATAAAACAATACTCCTCAATAAAAGAGAACAAACTTCTGATATAGGCTACAACATGGATGATTCTCAAAAATACTTTGCTAAATGAAGGAAATCAGACACAATAGACTACACATTGTGTGGCTCCATTTAAAATGGAAATTCTGGCCTAGGCTTGGTGACAAACGTCTGTAATCCCAGTGACTTAGAAGCTGAGGCAAAAGGGTCCGAAGTTTGAAGCCAGCCTCAGCAATTTAGCAAGACCGTGTCTCAAAGCCAGTGGGGGATGTAGCTCTGTAGTAGGATTATTGCCTAGCATATTCAATTTCCAGTACTGAAAAGGAAAAAAAAAAAAAGGAAATTCTGCAGGAGACAAAACCATAGGGACAGATCCATTGTTGCCAGGGTCTAGGGTGAGAGAAACATATTTACTATGAAGGGGCACAATGAATTTTTTTAAATGTTGGGAAATATTCTATATCATTATTTCAGTGGTAATTTTATGAATGTGTACATTTGTCTAAATTCACCAAATTGTACACTTGAAATTGGTGATGTCTATTAAATGTCAATTATACCTCAAAACAAGCAGAGAAACAAACCTAGAGCACATCTTACCACTTGTCTTGGGGAAATAGCCTTTTGTAAACTGAATTTGGAAAACCTGTTTTTAATAAGATACCAATAGTATTAATTTCTATAGTGAATCTTTACCAAATATTGACCCCTAAAATGTGTTTGCATAGAAAACAGTGATTGAATACTGTGCAGGGTGGTGCACCTCTGTAATCCTAGTAACTTGGGAGGCTAAGGCAGGAAGATTGCAAATTTGAGGCCAGCCTCAGCAATTAACAAGACCCTTACTTAAAATAAAAAATGAAAAAGAAAGAAAACAATGAGTGAGTCACTTGCTTTAATATCTCATTGCTTTTTTGCTTTCTCTTTACCTCCCTGCCCAACCTAGAAAAACTAATTGAGGGACTCAAATCTCCTGACACGTCTCTTCTGCTCCCTGAACTCTTGCCTATGGCAGATCCTTTTGGTAGCACTTCCGATGCTGTAATTGGTAAAGTCACCATCTGTTTCTTCAATCATGCATGAAATGTATGTGTATTTTGAATTAAATGTCTGATTAACAGATCCTAGAATGAATTTCATATGAATGAACAGGAATGTGAAGAATTCAGTTGCAAAAGCATCATGAAAAAATTGGTTTCTAACTGGACCTTACTTTACTGAACTTGATGGAATATAGCAGATTCTTCCTTAGAAGGCCAATGCATGTACCAGAAAATGCTTTGTCCAGTGGTTAAGCTCCCTGAATAGAATCTAGGGCAAGACTCAGTCTACTTATTTGCTTGTATTTTCTTGTGTTCCAATAGCAAGGCAGGCAAAACCTACAAAATGTCCAAGGCCTCTGTACTTTAGGAGGAGCAGTCATTAGAGACCTGGTAATGCCTCTGGGGAAAAATGTCCTAGAATTCACAAATGCCATGGCCCTACAGAAAAAATGGGCCTTCAGTTGAGAAATACGACATGGTGCAGAATGCCTCCCAGCTACATCATGGGATGGAGATGAGATGGATTTGAGGCTTTTGCATTAGATTAGAGGATGTTTACTCTAAATTTGTTACTTAAAAAAAGCAAAATTACCAGAAGAATTTAAGGTGCCTTTTAGCTAATCTCTTCTAACATGGTAGAAATCTCATGCTTGAAAGAGGCTTATGTTCCATGCTCTAACAGTGAAATCTAGACACTGAAAGCAGCAGAAATAGTCACTTTTTGTGCTTTCCATCTTGCTGAGGCTGGTATTTTAGCAACCTGTGTACAGAAATTTCACAGAAGAAAGCCTTCACAGAATTTCCTGAAGAAACTTCTGTCTTCCTTCCCTTACCCTTTCCTCTCCTTTCTTAATGCTCTGTTACAAAAGAAAAAGCTGATGTTGCTGTTGAGAGTCTCATACCAGGACTGGAACCCCCAGTTGCCCAGCGCCTCCCATCTCAGACGGAGTCTGTGACCTCAAACCGCACAGGTCAGTCAGGGATCTCAGTAGCTGAAGGGTCTGATCAATGTGGCTTTCTATCTCTGGCAGATGATCATCAGCTTATTTTTTAGCCTGGCTAGTTTCTCCTAGAGTGGATACTTGTTCTTATAGCCCTGCTGTCTAGATGTTGGATGTATTTTTCCTTGCTGAAGAACTGAGTACTTTTTGGATTTGTGCTCTTTTTAGAGTAGGCCCTAGGCTTACCCTGGTTATAGAATTTCTTTATTCGAGATTCTTTTTACTGGTGGCAGATCTCTCCCCCTCCTTAATTAAAGAACTCTGCAGAGTGGCCATGCTGTAAACCCCCTCTAGACTGCCCAGCCGTCTTTCCCACCGAGAATATCAGTGGGTATCTGCAGAGCACATCTCCTATGGGTTGACATTTTTTACCCAGAACAGTGCTTTAATCATCTAGGGGTGGTTTGCTGTTAAATTGTAGGCAAAACCAGATTCTTCCTTGGATTCAACATTACTTTGACCTTAATTTCAACATTCAGTCTTAGTAGAATTTCTTAGCTGCTTATAAAAACAAATTTGATAACATTCATTTTTATTGAGTCTATAATTACCTTGATAAAAGTGTCTGATTATCTGACTCAGAAAATCAGCAGTTAGAGGTCTTGGAAATGTGAACATAAACTTACTCAGGTGAAAAAATTTACCCCAGAAGATAAAGTGGTTCGTTTTCTTTGTCCTCACTTGGATATTTTCTCCTAGAAAACTCTCCCAAAAAACAATCCTTGTTTAAATGCTTGAACTCTCTGAATTTTTGTCTTCCTTCCATTCTTTTACTGAAAACAAATTATGTGTTCAAAGGAGTAATTTAAATTTAAGAATACTAACAAGACACATTTAGAATGGTAATCTGATTGAGTTCTAGAAAGTATTGTTTAATCTCATCACATTCTACTAATAAAGAGCTAGATCAACTCTCCTGGTTAATTTCAATACCAATTTCAATTTCAGTGTGGTAAATCTTTTCCTGTGAATGTTAGGGAAATGAAACAAATTGCAAAGTCCTTTTTCTGAAATGGTACTTGCTGAGAACTAAGTTGTTAAAATTGTACTGGCATCCAAATCAGACTTGCTTAACCAGCAACCTCTGAGCTAAAATGTCTCCTATACTTCCAAGTTAATGTTAAGAGGAGTCTAGAAATACATGTTGATGTGGATAGAAATCCAGAGGACTTAACACGTTTCTTTTGGTTTTCTTTCTCCCGTCTTGGCTTGAATGTATAACTTGTAAATGCAATAATTTAAAGGCTTAAATCTAATCTCATGATATTGTTATATGTGCCATTTAATGCTGTCACTGACCTGGAATGCTGCTAACTGGACTCAGATTCTCTCACTGGGGAAGATTCCCTGCTTGACTGCTCTCTGCTTTCTAACCCTACTGCTGACCTTCTGGAAGAGTTTGCTCCCATAGCAATCTCTGCTCCAGCCCATAAAGGTAAATTCTTCTTCTGAGGCCCACAGGTATCCCTGGAGGAGAAGAGCTGAACAGCTCCTAAGTTTTCCTTTTCAAAAGTCTTTGCTATAAAGTATTTAAACTTCCTTTTATAGAAAACTTGAGTTTGTATTCTTAGTCACTGTTATGATACCTCTCAGAATATCTAATAAGCCTTAGACAACAGATTGGTGAGGGTGTTACTTTCTGGCAAGAACTGGATGCAGGTGATATTTTACGTTGCCTTTGAGCACCATATACCTTAACAGTCAGCCAAGAAAAATGCTTGAGCTGACTGTCCACTTACTCACTGTAATTATTAATGTGATACTTGTTGACCTTGGAAAGTAGAGTTGTTCATCAAATGTGATTCAGGGTTTTGAACAATTATGACTACAGTAAAGAAACAGGTGTTCCTCAAAAGTCACTCTTCAGAAATTGAATTTTAAAAAGTTTCAAATTTTGTCCATTTTAAAATCATGATTGATTACTTGATTTTTCTTCCTTATCTGGCATTTTTACTTCTTAGTTTTGGATTAATATTGATTTGAAATTCTGCTGGACAGAGGTAGCTTGAATTGAGTTTTGTTCAGCTAGAAGTTTGTGACAATGGTAGGTACACTGTCTGACTTCCTCTATGTAGGCATTTACTAAACTTATTTCTCTGCTTGAATAATGAAAGTGGTTTTCTAGAAGGAGAAAATACATAGAAAAGGAACAGCTGAAGCCTTTCTGAGGGAAATTCAAGAAGGAAGCTGCCCAGAGATGACTAAAAGTAATTAGCTCATGGTTTGCAGTGGTAATAGCTGAGCTTTTGTTTTTATCTCTGATAGCATTAAAATGATTGTTTTTTTTTTTTTTCCATAGCATATGTAAAGGGAAGTTACCTAATTAGACAGTGGTGTGTGGCAGGAGTATGCCAGCAGCAGTATCTAATTACAGAGAAACATCCCTTGCAAAATAGGTGCTCAGGTAGCACTTGTTGGTACTGTTGCTTTAATTAGATTGGAGAAAACATTTTTTAAAACTTCTGCTAGAAGTTTCAGTGCAGGAGATTTTATGCCCTACTGCTCCCTGAGGCAACTAAGTCATTTGAAAGTCTTTTCCCATTCACAGAACAATGAGTCCTTCTATAAGTATTTTTACTTGCCTTGTGTATACTTACCTATTGTTGGTTTGGGGTCTCTTGGGGATAGGGATTGAACCTAGGGCTTCACACATGCTAAGCATGTGCTGTTCCACTGAGCTGTACCACCTGCCCCTTCAGTCATCACTTCTTAAAGAACTGCTAGTTCTCTCTCCCCGACACTCCTAGTTTTGAGTTTTTTGAACATGTTAGCCAGGCCTCTTTTCCCTCAATAAAGAAAACAGCTGACTCATTCTTGTGCCTTTCTGAATTAGTAACATTGAAGAGATACTTCACAATAATTATAGTTAATGGTCCTACAAATAGTAGAGAAAATTCTTCCAGTAACCCTTCTCCCTAATCATTTATGAAAGACTTAACATGGCCAATTCTAAAGCATTTTCCATATCTTTATGTTTTCTGTTTCCCTACTCTTATTTCAACTCAGAAAAATAAGTACCTTCAACTTTAAGAACTCCAGTAATTATATATATAAATATATTGTTGGGAACTTTGTGCCTCTTTCCCTTTCTCTCTGTTTGCTAATCTCTACCTCTGTTGTTTCTACTTGTGTGCTTGCCTTCTGTATTAAGCTGCAGAAGATAGTAATCTCATCTCAGGTTTTGATGTCCCTGAGGGCTCGGAAAAGGTGGCAGAAGATGAGTTTGACCCTATTCCTGTATTGATAACCAAAAACCCACAAGGTAAGAAAGAGGTGGGAGAACAAGGAAGAGCTTGACATCTGCTCTCATCAAAATAATAATGTACCTAATCTGCAAGTGGGGGAAAGAGTCAACATTTAGTGAAGGACACTGGGGGCAATGACAATCATTCATTGTAGGCTGGACCAGTATAGATAGGTAGAGATGGAGATACTGATAGAGGTACCTAAAGCTTGACCATGATGTTTATGTAGAAGTAGTTTGACTAACAACTAGTTTACAAAGTATCAAGCCAAAAATAAAGTGATCTTCAGTCAGTGGAAATTTAATTTATATATCAAAAGTTCTTAACTTTTTTTATGATTAGAACAATCTGTAATAAATATTCTTTCCAAAGAGATTAACAGTGGTGCTTTTGTATTAGCCACATCTTTTGGACATTCTCAGAGCATGCTTATTCCTCTTTGATGAATTGAAATCACTTGAACATGCCATAAAACACTGAATTGCCATCAGACCATGTATTTATTTTTTTTAAAGCATGTTCTTATTACAGTGTTTTAATAACTAATTTCTCCCCAAATCAAAAATTGATCAAGGGGATGGCTTGATGTTAACAGAAATCTAGTGTAAAGCCAGCAATTCTCAGGCAACGTACTGTTTGGAGAAGAGCTTCATCTTTATAAGGTGTCTGCCTATGCTATGGTGTACACAGAGTGCCTAAACTTTTGGTGGGAGGTGGTAGATAGCTAAATTTTATGTTTAAAAATCATTACATATGAGAGTTTGCAAATGTAAAATGTTGCCTCTCTAGGTTTCTGTGTTGTTTTTTTTCTCCTTTGCTTTCTCTGCACATCTAAACCTTAACCCTCTGTGTTTTGTACTGAATTCCTATCTCTCCACTTCCAGGTGGGCACTCTAGAAACAGCAGTGGGAGCTCTGAGTCCAGTCTTCCCAACCTAGCCAGGTCTTTGCTGCTGGTGGATCAGCTCATAGACCTGTAGCGGTGACCCAGTAGCAGATGCAGTTCTGTAACCTTCATGCCGTAATATACATTTTCATTACGGAGTTATGAGAAAAATGATTTTTTTAAAAAAATCTGCAAATAAAGGGCCCTCCAGCCCTTTTCTCCTACCCCTTGCCTTCTCCTATAGAAATGATAAGGAAAGAAAATCACTTTGGCCCTCCAGATATATTCCTTGGCCAGTTCCTCCCTGTTAGTTTGCTGTGTTTTCTCATTAACCTTCTTCAATAGCATTATCTTAAATCAAGCGCTAGATGCCATGAGCTTCACCTCTGCTGGAATTGACTCCACCAAAAGCTTAACTGTAACTGAACATAGTGAACTGACACCTTTGTCTCATTCTTGCTAGGAATGGCCTCCCAAATCAATCCTCCCAGCCCCTGTCTCCTTGGCCAGATGCTGATGAATATGTTTTCCTGTTTTTGCTTTTTATTCTGATGCATTATCATGAGGACCTGGCTTCTTCAGCTGGTTTTAACTCTAGGCAGTAGCCTGGAGATGGGTGTGTGGTTTAAGAGAGGGTAAAACTCACTGATAGTATATGTTTGAGAAGAGAAATTGAGCCCAGCTCTGGCCTACCAACTTTGCCCTTGTTTAATCATAGACTTAGCCAAGAGATTTACACCCCATGCAACCCACCCAGCATTCGTCCAACTTTCTGGCTTCCACTGAGTCGTGATTTCTCAGATCTGGAGACGTGACTGCAAGTACTTGAGATCCTTGGAT